AAACTTCTTCGTAGTCATGTATTCTAAGATCTGGAAAAGTTGGCCCCTAGAAATAAGGACCTATCACTCTATTATAGCCTTCGAACGCTTGCTATTTAGACCGTTTCATCCCAATGACTATGCCAATCAGACCACACCCGTTATTTCTAAAACGCATCAGCTATTAGAACACTATAACGCTTGAACACATTAATACATATTATGACACTATATAAACTCTAAGACTTCGCAAAAATACATGAGAACACAACTAGAATATAGGTAATATTTACTATACAATGATAAACATTTATGTATACATAAAACATTAATGTTCTTTTCATGTTCACATACTTTCTCTTTCTAGTATTCTGCTGCTGAGCCTACACTTCTATAAAATGGACATAAACCGACAACATGAAAAAGGTATAACTCACCACAACATCACATGGATAGATGTACGCTCGTTGGGCACCATATATCCCTCACGAACTGCAACCCACCTTTCCTTAGATAATGTGATGAACTTATATCCATAATGTTGCTGAGCAGTTAATATTCTCAACTCCTGTCGGAACAGCTGAAGTTCATAAACCTTCCTCACGCTAAGAAAACACACACGAGCAGCAGAAATCCATTAATTAATGCGTCTAAAGCTTATGTATATTTACTCCTAACAATGACATTGCAGATCAAATGAGATAAACATATCACTGACTGCAAAATAACACATCAATGAACTATAATTCAAGGATTCTGCACACAACAAAGTTATGTATGAAAATTGACTTCAAGCTTTATTTTTTCTCCCAGGCACTTATAATCCATCCACCAAAGACCTGGCTTTTTTAATGCAGAGACAATACTTCTGTATTTCCTGATGTGTTGCACTCACTGACAATCTAGCAGATTTTTCCAACTGTACGCAGAAATGTTTGTATATAAGTGAAAAGGCTGTTTTATGCTACTGGAATTAACATTTATCAAGCGTATGTATAATCTCCAGCGAATTTGTAAAGCATATCTTGATACCGCCAGTAGATTGTGATTGAATTATATGGTTCTATTTCTGTAACAATTTGATTATGCCTGTAAACTGGCGTCCCTCATGTACTATGAGACTAAATTTATTTATTTATGAGGTGCGATAGGTCGGATTCTTTCTCAGTGACATCAGGTTTCAGCCAAATCTCTGTGATGATAAATACATCCGGATTTCCGGAGTCTATCAGTCAGTTTGTTCGACAGGCTTGAAGTTCCGGTAGCAGTGGCGTTCATTCATACGGGATGGGGTCGCTAGCCTCATGCCCAACCTTCCCTCTTTACCATTTATATTACTGGCCTAGAGAGGTAGGGATGTGCTTCGGCTGGGATGGAAACCCGCACCGAATGAGTGGTTGGCGAGCAACCGACGCAACATACTGCTGTTGCCAGTAGCACCATAATTACTGAGAAGATTGACATATTGTTCACTTAGGGGTTTAGAAATGTAGAAATAACAAAAATAGACAGGATGTTTGGATAACAAAATCTAGTGGGATCATAACTAATGTGACGAACAATTGTTTGTGCAATCAAGGATTAAATATGTAGAAATAATAAAATAACAAAATAGACAGGAAGTTCGGATATGAAAATATGGTAGTGTAAATAGGGATTAAGAAAAGTTTAAAAATGACATGGGTAAACAGGAAGTTTGGATAAGAAAGGCAATGGGATGGTCACTACTAAAAGAATTACCTGTTTATGATGGCCATGGCATGGACAAGGGTTGGACGTATTTCTTTTGCATACACAGCGTGGGTTTGAGCCTTTGGATAGCCAGTGCCTCGGCTATGCCCATATGTCTTAATTCTATTCCCTTTGATATGTTTGATCGGATCTTGTGTGTTATTTTGAAGGATTTTTCGAATAGCGCTGAATGTCCTGAATTGAACAGATGTCCTGTCACTGAACTATATACACGTTTTCGTTCTCCTTTCACTGGCCATGATGGATAGTGACCACGAGCGCAGTTTTCAAGTTAGTGCATGGTACGGCCGATGTACTCAGCTCCACAAGAGCAAGTAAACTGTTATCTGCACACTGAAGTGGCCCAACGCGACAGCTTGTCTTTCACGTTCTGGCCGGGCGGTTAATTGGAGGAAGATATCGGTCGTAAGCTCGCAGCGAAGTCTGTTTTCCTCAGAGACTTGGAGAGGCGTTTACGAGGGATTTCTGCTTCAACGTCATTTTTGAATTCTAGATTAAGCAGAAGTATCTTCTTCGGGACGGATTGGACTTGTTCCGAAGTCTTCTTTGATTTGAAATTCTTGTCTATAAACCTGGGCGGAAAAGCGTTTTCTATCAGGGTTCCTCGGAGATCACACAGTCCCTCGTCAATCACGTCCTCTCTGCATATCTTCCGAATCCTCGAGGAAAGAGCGTATATCAGGTTTCTATTTCTGCTTAGAGGCACGAAGCTTTGTAGGTTGATGAATTGTTCATCCGACGGAATGTTTCACTTCCTAGACGTCCATATGACAAGAAACGCCAACAACTCTTTGAAATGGTCCATATACAAAAAGCCTACATGGAATGGACAATTCATCAACCTACAAAGCTTCGTGCCTCTAAGCAGAAATAGAAACCTGATATACGCTCTTTCCTCGAGGATTCGGAAGATATGCAGAGAGGACGTGATTGACGAGGGACTGTGTGATCTCCGAGGAACCCTGATAGAAAACGCTTTTCCGCCCAGGTTTATAGACAAGAATTTCAAATCAAAGAAGACTTCGGAACAAGTCCAATCCGTCCCGAAGAAGATACTTCTGCTTAATCTAGAATTCAAAAATGACGTTGAAGCAGAAATCCCTCGTAAACGCCTCTCCAAGTCTCTGAGGAAAACAGACTTCGCTGCGAGCTTACGACCGACGTCTTCCTGCCAGTTCGCTTGAGTTTTATCCACATCCCTGTTTATTATGTCATTTTAATATCTAATTTTAATTTTATGAATTTGACCCTTGACGGGAAATTATTCTAGAACTCTCCTCCCCATATTTTATAAATATACGGATGTACAACCTAATTGATGACTTCGTCGAAAAGAAAATTTTATTCGTTGCGACCGTCTTTTTAATACTTCCCACTATCGAAATATTTGGATGAGGCGTGATATACAAGCTCGTGAGCAGAGTGTTTTAGACCTCTGTTACACCTTTTTCTCGGGTCAGCAACTGGCAAACTGGTGTTGGAACTTTGGGCTGATTTACACTTTTGGCACTGAAGACTTATTCGGTATCGTAGGGGCAATGTGGGCGTCCGGACCATGTTGAATGCTCTTCTGTGCTGAAGGGCATTCACTCCCTGACGGGGACATGTGGAGAACGTGTATTGTCTTGTCAACGGCGCTAGTCAAGTCATCGGCGCCTGAGCAGTAGTCACTCTTCTCCGGAGGTGAAGGAGTTTCTCAGTTCCGTAGCTTTAATGCTTCACTGGGCGTAGCAATGGCTTCTCTAAGGCAGAACTCTGTCGTACTGCAGCATTCCTTGCACAGCCAGTCTGCTGGAGATTTGGGGCAGCCCTTGTGTACTGCAAGGGTTAGGTTTGTGAACGCTCTGTGAGACCATCGCTTGAAGCTAACATCCTTCGTGTCTTCTTCGACTAGGAAATGGCGCATAATTTTTACGAAGAGGCTTCCTTTTACAGGCATGCATATAAAAGTGAATTGGGATAATTGTATTCAAATATGGCTGTTGGGAACAATTTTTTATAAACCAGAAGTAAAAATCCAATGCATTTACACAAAATGGATACATAATAACTATGGTTTTGTAAAAACACACTTTCTGTGAGTAAATAGTCTCAAAACTATAAAGAAAACTAATTTCGACCAGGATTAACTGAATAAAAGTTAATCTATAGACTTTTGGTGCGTATAACATAACAAAAGCCGAAATTGAACAGCAGCGCAAAAAATTCACAATCCTTTCAAAGTTCGCACCAATATCTTTTATTTCAGAAGAAAATTTATCGTATACATAATACATATGTTACTGACACAACTTAATAACCATTTTGATTCTTCCCTACTCACTTCTGAGCTCTTTCTAAGGTTGCACAAAAAATACGTCACACCACACTTTGAAGTGCACAATATCATTGCACCCCCACTGCTTAGAAGAGAAGCAAGTCTTTAGGAAGGATGCCAAAGACGGACGACAAAAGGAGTGACTGGTCTCCTTAACAAACTGTATGATGATCGGCTAAAGAAATTAGGTCGCTTTACACTTCGCTACATTGGCTTAGGGGGGACTTGATTACTGCCCATAAGATAACAAATGATCAGAATCACCCGAATAAAGGTGTCCTGCCATTAAGTACGTATGGGTTTCCCAGTGGAAATCCCAGAAGGATAGCCCACCAGAAGGCAAAGACTCCGGTGCGCTCCCACTTCTTTTCACTGCGGGTTTGTCGCTCCCAGAATTCCTTATCTGCAGGTGTAGCTATAGTGCCGTCTATGGGCAACTTAAAACATAGGCTGAACAATCATGCAGTGACACAAGTACTGCATCCAAACGGCCTATCCCCTTAAAGTAGCATGCACCATTAATGGATAGACACCTAAACTCATCATTTTACTTCTTTACATTCTGTCATGCTTTACTGTCCTGACTACTCCAACTAATACGTCCCTTACAGTACTATTATTATTGATGCTTACATAAAATTATGTACGTATATTTACTATATACGTTTATATATGTCAACTATGAATTCCATTAGCTGTCTGCTTTATGGTTTCTTTGTCCTTTTGTGAGGGAGGGTCAGCTCTATTCACAGTAGCAACACGGTCTTAACACATTGCATACTACAAACTACCTATAATTAACCCCAGCACAACTCCTTTGGGAGTCAACCAGAGCTACGTCAGTCAAGTGGTGCGTCGAACTACGCAGAAGTTTACCAAATAACGGGAACCTTTACCTTACAACCAAGAAAGGAGCACAAAGAAATTAAATCGGTTTACACTACCTCGTAGGAAACGATATTGGATATTGGATGAAGGTCGTCATTGAGGACGCCTCAAATATATCGGTACGTTCCATCAATATCCTGTCTTAAAGTGTTTTTGAGTATCTCGGCACGATCCCAGCTATTGTCTTTAATAACAACAGTAAGTTAGATTATGGGTGACAGTTAAATGATGGAAAATATTCTTCTGCGTTGTAGTATGATACACAAAAGTGTTAATATAGGATGCACGTGCTTCCTGTGGAATTTACCTTTCGAAGTTCAGATAGTAGTAATTAATGTAAGAATAGATGACACTTATAAGTAAAGCCGTCTTTACTGCAGATGCGTGGTAGCATGTTAAGAATCTATAAATGACGCCATATACTGTCCTCTTTTATCATTCCAATATCGCTTTTATGTACTAGTGTAAACCAAATTGATTTCTTTTTACTCACTTCTTGGTTGTAAAGCAAAGGTTCCTAGTCTTCAGGAAACTTAGGAGTAGTTGATCCTGCCAATCGACTGTCGTAGTTTTTGTTAGCTCCAAAAGGAGTGGTGCTGGGAGGGATGATATGTTGTTTGCAGTATATGGTGTATTAGAACTGCCTACTATAAATTAGAATTTATATGCAGTTGGCTTCTTTTACAGTGTAAAAGCTAAAATGAATTTTTTACCCTCCACATAGATTTGAATATATTACTTCCATATGTCTAATACCCATGTCAATGTACTATGAAAGAGGAAGTGGGTTTATATTAGCATGAACCAAAAAGGTTACATGGAAAATACATGATCTCTTTTCATAATGTGATCAGTTTTTCGACCAATAAAATGTGGACCTTCTGGTTGGCGTTCGTGTTAAGCCGAGAACTCACTGTTAGAATTCTAACCAACCCTTAGGGGTCTATATTCTAGGTGAAATACCTCAATAAGTCACGGTAGTATACGTATTTCGTAGTATAACATTCCCTTTCGTTGTAAGATAAACAAGCTTATTGATATTGTGCGTCGAACTACATTATACTGTTTCGGCATTATGCAATTGAAAGGTTTTCACACTTTTCGAAGCCTAGAAGCATCGTTCCACCGTTAGGCATTATGTATCTGAAGTTTGTCTTATTTTTAATTGCTTTTCCAGTTCGCTGTTGTTTGTGCTAATGCAAATCGAAATGCAAATATTCTGTCACACATCACTTAAGTATCAGGTCTTTACAAAATGAAAAAGGCGGAATGTGAATCTAAAAAACAAGTTCTAGAATATTTACCAAAATGTGGGGTACATGTGGATTTGTCCTGTCCTGAAGAAATGTCAATTGAACAGTTAATCGAAATCTTTGAACGTCGTGGTTTCAAATCTTTAGTGAGTTGAGTTTCTCTCTATCCACAGTTTGTGTGAAGACGAATTGTTCACAGTTTAACTTCTGCAAAACATCGAAGTGTGTTTGCAGATACTTCACCTAATACATCTTATACCACTCATGATCTTTCGAGGCGTTTTGCGCATAGTAATGGAATGTGAAACCACATAAAAGTTGTGCATTACAAAACCTTGAAATACGTTGTTTGTTAACACTGTAACATTTTCCCCATACAGTGAGAAATTCACTATGAGGGGGAAGGTTGATGAGAAAAAAGTGGTAGAGGATGGTAATATGTGGGTGCTTGCAGCCAGTTTGAAGGAAAGCAGGATGAAACCATATATCATAAGTAAAAAGGTTTTTCTAGATATTTTGTAGAGATTTGTGTAACCTTTTATTTGACAGTCATTGTTTATTCACATCCAAAATTTACGACAGTTTGACTACGAGCAGGTTATTTATTTTCTGACTTCAGTTGTGTAGTTAGTTATATACAATTCATTGTTATCTTGTTAGTTGTATGCATAAAAGCATGATTTACCATTTGTTATGGGACTGAGAACAGCGAAAAGACCAGTGATTCACCAATATGGGCTATGAGATGCGAATACTTACTTTATTTCGGCTATCTCCTACGGGAGGATGAGCCGGCTTCATGAACATCTCGAACCATCGCTGCCCAGGCGCGGCGATCTGATGAAGAGAGTTCACGAAGTTTCATGGGAATTTGGTACGAGTGATGTCCCCAGAACCGCTCGGCCTTTTGTTTGAGAGTGCAGCTCTAGCCTTTACACAACCAAGTGTGACCTACAAGGCAGTAGGAATGGAGTAGGGAGTCCACTATCCATTGGCAGCCGCTGACCGGAGTTCAGTTCATACGCCTTTTTGAATGAGGCCAGACATCCAGGACATCCAACAAGCCCTTTGTCCATACGTCTGCCGGTGAGCTCCAGTGAGCTTCATACGCCAGTCGTTGGAGGTTTGGAGTCAGGGTTTAGCCATCTCCCCTAGACTGTCATCCAATGGACAGTCAACCCGGTGAAGAGCGCCGGGCATCCGCTTTCGCCCTCTCACTTTGGTGAAAAACACCACCACGTGAAGGCAGTGAGTAGGACTTCCTCAGGAGAGGCTATGTAAGACGCCCGGTCATATGGGAGCATTTCAAGAAGTGTGCGGAGGGGTGGCCAACCCGCAGCGCAAGGCACCCACCCCCGACCATCCTGAGGCTTTGGAGGCGGTTATATACCTATGTGGTCATGTGATGGTTTCGTGATCTCATCGTAGCAGACACATACCGGTTTACTTTGATATTTCAACCAATATCAAGCTGTATTAAAGATTATTAATATAGTGTATGTAGGGACGACAAACGACTATATTTGAGCTATTATGGTTGATTTCCAAATTACTAGTTCTCAACATTACTCAAAACTCAATAAAATAAAAACCACAATTTAAAAATAACACCCGTTAGTTAATTTATGGACTAACACTATATCTGGCCACCTACATATTTTTGGTCAAGTAAGCATTAATCCGAAAATTGGTACAAACCAGCTTAACATGTATTCTAGTTTTCTATAGTTTGGTTTGTAAGGGTTAGTTTTGTTTGTTACGAGTTGATCACGGATTGATATCAGTTAGAGAACCATTGGAAACCAGGGAGTACTGAACAGCTGTTTCATCAGCCTAGTTTGGGAATCATCGGCAGTACGCGCACCCACTGGAGTTCGAGCCCAGGACCTTCCGGTTACAAGGAAAGCTCGTATACCATTAAACCATCGAGACCCGATTCAATAGCCATTCTATGAATTCTAACTTCTACCAATTCGTGATTTTAGTCCGAACACCAACCAATGTCGTTGGTGGGACATCCATCCTCACACGTGACATCTGGGTGGACCTCACTGGTCACTCCAGGAAACTCCATCCTGTAGCAAGTCACTAGCGAGCACCAGATTAATTCTAGTTCTAAATTAACTTTGTCTCACTCAAAGCATATCTACAGTTATTAAAAAAAACTTCGCTGATTTAGAATCCCAAAATTCTAAGGCCATTGGAATTGTTATCACAGAAAAGAATAGTCTGCAACTCATTTTCACAAAAGGCTTGTGATGTGAATACAACAAAGATTGTAGTGGCCTATTTTTAAATTATGTGACTGTTGTAACAATGATTATATCACCAGAAAATAATTCAGTTAACCTACACAGTTGTTTTTCTATCCCTCTGATACGATCAGGCTCTTGATTATTCTTTGTATTTAGAACAGGAAGGAACAGTGAATCTTACAGTACACGCCTCGGCATTACATTCTATGAGCCACTCATAAGACTGGTAATACCATTTATTTACCCAACACAACTACAATAAATCAATACCACACTATACTTCTCAGCGATTCAATATTGTCAAAGGGTGTTAGTTTATAGGGATTGGATTGGTTTCACGTCTGACCATGGATTATTGTTAGTTAGAGAACCACTGAAAACACTGGGATGGCGTGGTGATGGTACTGAACGACTGTTTCGTCCAAGTTTCGAACTGTTCATCTGTCTGTACGCACTCATAAACTTCAGGTTACCAGGTCAAGTTCGTCGACCATTTAAGCAATTTGGCTGGAATCCAATGGTTAGTGAATTTGAACTTCTGTCAATTCGTGACTTTTAGCGCGACCTCCCCCAGCGACCCAATGACATTGGCAACTGAAACAGATTAAATATTGTATTTGCTAAATTGATAAGTCACACACACAGGGTTTCATTGGCACTATTGTTGATAAAACTAATTTATTTATACAATTTCTGTGTTTTTTTATCACAGGTCTCAAATAGTGCTACACTAGATCAACTTGTCAATCTATATTATGATCATCTTATGCCAAAGTCCAGTAGAAAAGAATTAATAATAACTCAAATGGTGGATGAAAATGAATCTATGAATAATACTGAAGTCGTCAATAATAATTTATCACCAGAGGGAGAAATCAACTGTATGATTAAAAAACGTAAGCATAGTGTAGACAACAATACAGATGAATTAATAACTGTTAGCAGTGCTAAACAATCCAATTGTAGTGAAACTACTACTAATAATAATAGCAATGATGATTTACTTCCTGTAGATAATTTAACCTCTAAAGAAACCAATGTAAATATACCTGTTGATAATGATACTAATAATGTACATCAATCAGTGTGTAAAAAGGACACTGTCCAGTTGGATAGTTTAATGAAAGAGATAATGAGAAGTGTACCACAACCAACTGACAAAAAGTCCTCTGATGCAGCAAATACAGACAGCAAATCCAACTCAACGGTAAAGAAAAGACAAAAGATAAATCGTGAATTTAAAACACTTGTAAAGTAATACATTATATATATATTTATGTGTATATTGAGTTGTTTTTTCTTTTTTCTTATTCCTTTGAGTTCCTAGTGGAACACAGGGCGGGGGCTTCAAGCTGGGGCTTTGTGAATGTTTTTTTAGTAGCGCTAGTGTTTATTTTTACACGGTGGGGTTTCTAGCCAGTATCGTCTCTTTGACGGGCTTACAACCGGTTAAGCGAGGTAAAGGAGTGCGTCGGTGGCCGCGGATCGGACTCCGGACCACTTAGCTTGGTTGACCAGTGTCCTACCACCGACTCATATTGAGTTTTGATCTCGTGCGTGACTTCATAAAAGATATTGCCTCAATTGAATGTTAGGTTAAAGTAAGTAATGATTAACACGGGAAAAGTGTGTCGCATTTAAGTACGGTCAAATTATTATTTTAAAAAATTCATACTCCCCTTGGGTTCCGAGTGGAACACAGGACTGCAACAGCACATCTCCATTTCACCGTGTTCGCTGCATTCCTTTTTACCTGCCTATAAGATTGTCCAGAAGCCTTCAAGTTTTTCCATTTCATTCTCAGACGTCCAACTTGTCGTTTCCCATTCGGTTTCTACTCTGAGGCCTGGCATATGCCAACTTACACCATCTCTGGCTTAGTATACGTGATATCCGGCTGTCGACCAAAGGGTGTGTGTACTGTTCAACAGCTTGCTCTGTTCTTTATACTTGGCTGTGAGCTAGGCATAGCCATTGAAAGTGCAAGACATGAAAAGACAGGGTAGCTAGTTGTCTTTGATCATAGGTGTCTGCGTTCTATCTCCCGTGTTAAGTGGTGCTTTAATAAGGTGAGTAATATTGACGTTAGGCATCCGTCGAGTGCTACTAGGTCAGGAGAGGAAATCAATCGACGAGGTTGTGAAGTTACACCGATTAAGAGAGATGGTTAGGATATGTGTTACGTATGCATGTCTAGCCATCGCCTTCCTCGATCAACGGGCAATGTTGACTGACATAGGATGGGTCAGGCTGGGAAAGAGTTAGCTAGTGATGGGTGGTCAGACGAAGACATGGCTTCATCAATCAATGAAATCCACAACAGTTAGTTTAAGCCAGTCAGCCACGTGGGGAGGTGTACACTGGCTTCCTGACTGGCTGGTTGGGGTCCTCGGGATGGTAAGGAGCAATGAAGGCTGGAGAGAATCACTGATATGGCTCAAAATTGTACTAAGTGGCTGGTGCAGATGTATCCACTCTTTGTGATCTATAATATCCAATAAAATTATTGTTCTTCCATATTACTATTCTTTTTGCCTCATATTTATGTTTATTAACTCTGTTTTGAATCTTTCCTTACTCTGTTCTGTTACTTTGTGTGGTACACGGGGGAGTGTGGCAAGTTGAACTGTTGCAAAAACGGTGCAAAGTTCTACGTTGAAACCAGTTAGTCAGTCAGTCTGAGGCCTGGCGCTCGAGGTCACTCAATGGTCTCTTCGGCATATCTGTTGAGCAATAGATCCCTGGTTGGTTCGATGCCAGATTTCCTTGTTACTAATCCTTTCTGATCGTAAATATTGGTCTTCATTATCGAACAAAGGTAGATGTTTATGAGAATCTGCTTTTGACGACGTACCAAGTCTTTGAATCACGTACAAACAGCGACGTGTATATTAGTAATGCCTAGCCTGTCATACGCTCTGACAGCGTTCTTGTGATCTTTTTATTGTTAGATCTGCCAAGAGCGATAGGATATTGCGTAACCTAATGGTTGTGTGTGCTCTATGCTAAATGCATGCGTTTCGCCCTGATAATAATGTTTACCCCCTCTTTTTATACTGTTTAAACGATTCGGTTTGGCTTGCTGCCCTGTATGCACCTAACTTTGTGCTGGACTGACTGACTGCATACCCATTGACTTGATAGACTAGCGGCCTGACTGTAGCCTCGAGTGCAGTAGATTTTCAGACCGAATTGAGAATAATGAGTGTACGTCTTGCCTTTCCGTTGCTGGCTAGCTTTGACATCTTCATCTGTAGTTGAGACGATGCTGCTCATGTCAGATAAGTGAAAGAGGGTAACTGTCCATTAGATCTGTTCTGTTGGTGACGGTGATTAGTGCTCCTTGGTTTCCACTACTTACTTAGTTGAATATCGGCCCCAAATGACGCATACTTTGACAATTGTAATCATTTGTACAACTGCCTTATAATTAGCATCAGTTTATACTCATATGTGTTAAAGAATTTCAAACGGTCTTAATCTGAATCCGTCTAAATGTCAGGTAGTAAATTTCACTTTCAGATGAAAACGTGACCTACAACAACTAGCTAGCTCACATGGTCCCACTATCATTGACGGCATAGAGGTTGAAATTACATCTCATGTCAAGTACCTTGGACTTAGTATTTCCTCCTCTCACATCTTGCTAGTTACTAGAAAGATGTTTCGCTTAACGTTCTACGTTAGGAAGTTAAGGCAGTCTGGGATAAAGCAGTCTTTGCTTTCTCAGTTTGTCAATTCCTGTATTCTACCCATCCCTCTTTACTGCTCCCCGTTAATCTTCCCTGGACTACTTAAGAAAGATTTTGCTTTGCTGCGTAGGGCACTAAAAGCTGTTAGTAGGGTAAGTGGGATTTCGTTAAACCAACACCATTGTGGATAGACATATAATGTCATGTAAAAAATTAGCGAATATCATATTGTCAGACCCCAAGCACCCTCTCTATACACAGCTCTCTCCTTGCATTTCATCTGGTAGAACTAGAAGCAACTATAGGAGGCTATATGCTAGGACTACCAAGTACAAGAACTCCACAATACCTTATCTGGCACAGCTGTTATGTGATGAGAAATCGGTTAGGTATGACACGATCAACTTACTGCGGCACTCTAACAAATAGTTCCCATTAGCTTTTGTTCTCCTTTCTTTGTTACTATTATATTGTTGCTCACATATTCTATTACACACTAATTTTATATATCATATCCTGTGGTGCATTGTTTAAATATGTGAATGCAATGCTGTTCTTTTTTATTCCTTTTATTTCTTTTTGTTGTTGTTGCTTTTTATTTTTAAAATCTTATAAAAATTTATGAGGTAATTAGATGCAATATTGTAATGCATGTTGAAAATTCCATACCTGTACCACAAATACTGTTTGGAATAAAGCTATTATTATTATTAATGTTTTGGGAGTGGTATAAGACTTGAAAAATAATATTTGGTTTATATTATTCAAAATTGTAGTAATCTCTGAGTTTATATACAGTGTGCGGTTGGCATGGACGGTGGTTATTTTACATGAAGTATGATTTCAGAGAGTTATAGTTGCGCCAAATTGTCACAAACTCATATCCTATCTAAGACGTCCTACCTACTCTAGTTATCACTATATATATCGTCAGAAATACATGCTCTTTTGATCACTTCTAAAGGTTCACCGTCAACGACAGTGAAACAGTGTAGAGCATTTCGTTGATGTCCGTCCGTACGCCTAGTTACTAACCGAACAACGGTGTCTCATGGTCGGTGGTATTCAGATAATTTAGAGATGATTTTCCTGCACTCAGCTGTTGCTTCGCTGAATTTGATACAAAACTGTTGCCTTGAATGATCGACTTCGAGTGTCTGAAATATACATCCGTAGATTTAAGTGTGGCTGATATGAAATTAGTTGGTCAGTGTTACTATTCAGTTTCTTCAAGACAGTCGTCGACAAGAAGACAAATAAATATCAGTTAAACAGAAGTTGAATGTGTAACGACAGAAGACAAGGGTCAGGCAACAGATCGTTTATTGAGAAAATCAACAGATATTTATAGATTTTTATGTACATTATTATTCGTAATTATTAACAAAGAAACGGTGTCTTCTGATTGGTCGTTTTGTCACTGGAAGTTATTCTGTCATCTCTTTATGGCCGTTTCTGTGATGGTCACACCATATATCTGCTAATCGTGTCCGCTCACACAAAGTCTTTGTTCTTGTTTTTCTCATAACCAAGATTTGGGACGTAAACATTGACGTAAATTGCTGTTTACCAATTTTGGCTAGCAGACAGTTTTCACCACAAAAGTACTGAATAGTTACTTGTTGTACATGAACTGTCTCCGACAATATCATTCCTTGGACTTTCTTTGGATATACGTAGTTAATAAAATGTGGAATCTTGCCCATCAGCTGGATAACGCCACTAAATTCAAGCAACCGTTCAAAGCATTCCTTACTAGCACTTGCTATAAGAACACTGTAACTATCTAAACAGAAAACTGTTCTGCATATGCACATCAAAGTTGTCTTAATGATATAATGAATTCAGATGAAAAGTCACATGCATATCTCAGTAGCACACATCACTTGTTTACACACTGTGAGATGGGTAATCAGTGCTAATAATTGCCCGTTGCTACGTTTAATGTCATAAAGAGACATTCATAATCTGAATGTTTCAATAGAAGAAATGCGATTTTCAGGCAGACTGTCAGTATACAAAGCCAACTGTCTTTGATCATGGGTGTCTGTGTTTCGTCTCCCGTGTTAGGTGGTACAATACGGTAAGTAATACTGGGGTTAGGCGTCGAGTATTAGGTAAGCAGGGGAAGTCAGTCAGTGAGTTTCTGAAGGTGTATCATTTGGAATGGCTATGACAACACATTTCTTGACGGCCAATGTTAGCTGACATAGGATCAGGTTGGAAAAGAGCTGGTGATCGTCAAATCAGTCCATGGGATCTTTAACAGTTAGTTTGAGCCACGTAGGGAAGTGTAGACTACTTGGTTGAGGTCCTCTGGATTCTAAGAAGCAATGGATGGAGACTGTTGTTGACATGGCTAGAAATCGTTCTCAATGGCTGATGCATTCACACTTTGTGATATCCCAAAAATACTAAATCCTACCTTTTTTTCAATGTTATTATTCTTTCTTCTTCATATTTCTGCCTGTTAGCTTTCTTTTAAATCTCTTTTTCGTCTTCCTTTGTGTGTCATAAGGAGTATGGTAACTTGAACTGCTGCACTTCTGTGCTGAAAGTAGTTAATCAGTAATACAATGCATGGCTTTCCA